GGACCATTTTAAACATTTTGTAAATCCTGATGATTACACCATGGTAAAATAAAGTGGGGATGGGAGGGTACGGATAATTTCTGGAACTACACAATATGACATGTATAAATGGATACATGTATGTGGCAACGTTTCATATAAAGATTGGGTTGCCTATGTATTTCGTAGTTTATTAATTGCCGTAAGTTGATAAATAGCCCCATAACCTGATGTACATGATATAGTGTGATAAATCTTAAAACCATAAGCTTTAATACATAGTATTGAAGATCAATAGAAGCCTAAGCTTTTATACAACTTGAAAGTATATATTTGTACAAGTGTACCTTTTCTCGGATATCTTGAAAATCGTCCATATAAATAGCTTGAAGTGCTTCAAGTTCGTTATCTCGTCTCTCAGCCAAGCTTTCTTTATCGGCAGCCATGTTGTGCGATGGTCAACTGGTCACTAGCAACAGTTGTTTACGTTGTTTACACGACAAAACAAGTCTGTGTTTCGATATTTACACTCGAAATTAAACTCGACGGCTACTCCAAAAATAATTTTAAAGCAAGCAAAAACAACACGATATTATTTACGACTACATCTTGAAGCCTTTCCTTAGGAATTTTACGTCCTTTCCAGGTTTAAAATGATCGACAAAACGAAAGAAAGGAAAGATAGTAGTTGCGTGGCGTCCGCCATCATGCATTTTTAAAGCCAGAGAAGGACTGGAAATGAATAATATCTATCACTACATCTGATTGGTTTAGTTATTGACCAATAATATATGAAGATTGAAGTCAAAGCACAGGGATCCCGACTACAAGCTAATCAGGCTTTTTAAACGACACCATTTCTTTGATAGCATTTATACGAAGAAAAATAGAGATTTTCCTTTCAATGTCTTAGGAATTACTATATTTTAGCTTTTTGGCTAAAGTATAAAAATTTGTTTAATTTCGTCTTTCCAGCTCAGTGCGTCTCTCTAGCTCTAGCTCCTCCCGATCAGGGTCTTTCACGTGTATGTCGCGTGACTGTCAACCTTGACATGCTAACTAAGTAATCACTGAGTTTTTACTTGGAGAGAATTTTGACCTTAAAGAGCATTGCCAAGTATTGCTTGGATTAAACTGCTGCTGTTTACGTAATCGCCTCACTTTGGCCTACGTTTGAAGCTTTAAAAGTAGCATTAGAGCTTCTGGATCCTAGATATTTGACTATTATTTCACAGCAGACCATAAAAAACCAGAAGTTGTATATGTACAATATACAGAAAAGGACGATGCACAAGTTTTCTTGGTCGGCGTTCTTGCTTCTATTAGGAGCTGTTTTAACTGTTAAGAGCCTAGCAGAACGGTGTGTTCCTATCGAAGAATACAGTAGCTGTGCTTGTAGACTGAATGAGACTAAACAAGTGTTCAATCTTTCTCCACTTGCCCCGAAAAACGCTTCAGAGAGACCAAGGTACATGAGCTAAACAAACTTAGTATTGCTTCATACGTTAGGCAATCTGGCTAGGAAATTATACTCATTACTTCACGGCTTTATTACTAGTTTTAATTCTATGTTTTTGATAATTTTAATACTGTGAATTGTCCTCTTGATTTCTTGAGGTCTTACCATTCAATACTATTAGAAAAAGAGGAGTTGGTGGGGGGATCAATCTGAAATCGTTACCATAGGTTTTAAAAGTCATACAGTGTGTTAAAGTTAAAATATTTTATCGATTTTATCACCTTTGTGATGTTTTTGTTCCCTTGAAAGGTTCACAGCCAACCATACGACTAGTGGCTGGCATTACTCATACAACCCATGTGATGGATTTGACTTGTTTGTTTCTAAAGATAACGAGTCACGTGCAGAACCTTGTAAAAATGTTGCAGTAAGTGTTTTATATATCTAGGTGGGATGGGTATCTGATGTGGATGGCACAGGGGTGGGTGGCTCAATTTGCAGGGGGGTACAATTTTCAAAATCAGTAGAATTTGTAGGATTTTTTTTTTTTTTTGTAATTGCAACACAAGTGACTTTTAAATTGAGGTACTGAGCATAACATTTTCTAAAAGATAATGAAGAAGGAGGTTTCTTTATTGAAACCAAATTTTACTTATTTTTTTAACAAATCTACCCCACCCCCACCCCCTTTCTACGACTTAATAAACAATCAGTCCCTAAAGGAAACAGTGAATGACTGTCTTTGATCCCTGTTATTGATAACTTTAACTTTTCGTATGTTAAATTTAATATTCTTCCATTTGGTGCACTGCTAAGCACTACTTATTACTCGTTATCGGTATCACTTTCAAAACAATTATCATGGTACATATATACGTAAAGGTTATATAGGTTACATACTGTAAGTTCCCCTAATAAAAAAACCCTAAACCTGAAGGCTATGAGCTTAAGAAATCCTTTTCGCAAAATCTTATCACAAGACAGTATTGCAAAACCTTTGACTGTGCATACCATACATCTGTGAAAGAGCCAACTAACAAAATTGTACAAATTAGTTCAAAGTTTTCTAGTCTACTGCTTGAGATCCACTGGACTTACTAATTCGTGAAAATTTGTCAAATGTCTTACTACTTTTTCACATATATATATGGATCTATTGTATTGTATCACAAAACCATTGCATTATACCGCATCCTCTTATTTTGCTAAAGGTTATAAAGGTTAAAGGCTGCCTCTTCTCACACAATGAAAAGCGTTTTGATTATATATGCTAGGTTTGTGGTTTACAAGGGCGGATCCATGTCTCCCCGATTAGTAGGGCACTTGTGGCCGGCTAGAAGATATAGAGACATTAATAAAGTTATTATTATTATTATTATTATTATTATTATTATTATTCAGCCAATATTTTAGGGGGGGCTAATTGAGTTTAGTAGGGGGGCCAATTGAGTTTCTTCCGTCAACACAACAGAAAACAATATAAAAAAGCATCGTTTTTTTTCTGCTGAAGGGGGGGCTTCAACCCCCCTTTGCACCCGGGCCCCTGGATCCACCCTTGGTTTATGACTGAAAAATAAAGAAATTTCTCCTTCAACTTAAGTTAACAAGGTGTTTCTTGCCTTTTTTTGTGTTTTTGGAAAAGTTTGAGAAATCTTTTACAAAAATCTTAAGTTGGTTAATCAATTAAATTGCAACTTTAATTGGGAGAACTGAAATTAAACTATATGCAAGTTGATCTTTATAAAATTATAAAATACTTCTTTTAAAGAATTAATAAAAATTATTGTGCTACTATTAAAATGTTCTAAAATCAATGAAGATTTTCTTACATTTTCCTGAAGAAGCAAAAATGGCCTTGGGATTTACAAGAGGCCTTGCCTCCAACTCATGATTTTCAAACTATTCTCTCACTTTCCCAAACTCATCGAATGATTTATATAAGTGTGATAATTATTTAATGCTTTCAATTTTCTCGATCAGCTCTCTGCATGTACATCAGCTTTGAACTGAAGCTGAAGAGTATTCCTAAGGATTAAGCACAATCTAAAAATAACTTTTCAGGAATACTGACACTCCCAAGGATAGCAAGATTGAGAGTCTRTCTCTGTCACTTATGTTCTCTTGGTTTTGATAGGTTTGATAAACAGGTGTTTAAGGCTCAATCATCATATTATTGCATTTTTTTTTCAGGTGGCACGCTGGACAGCAAGTCCTCCAGAAGTGTGTTTTGACCTGGGAGATCCTGATTCTGCAGTCTTTGACTACACCAACATTAATCTATCCAGATTCAATTTAACCTCGGTATCAAACTTGTCAATCACTTTCACTCATGTGTGAGTTAACTTATTTATAAGCATTATTTATATTTATCTACCTACCTACCCATCCATTCATCCCTCTATCCATCATGGATTCCATCCATCCATCCATCCCATTCATCCATCCGTCCATCCATCCATCCTCCCCATCCATCCATTCATCCATCCCATCCATCCACCCACCCATAACCCATCCATCCAGTCTTTTGCAAGTCTATCTTTTGACATGCATAAATACATGCAGTATCAGATAACTATATCAGTCTTATATGAAGTATAAAGGCAAACAAGATGATGAGCAGTACTTCATGTGTTTTAGGAATGACACTCGTCTAAAGAATCGAGCCATGATATACCTTGTTTGTAACTCCAATATGACTTATTTCAACCAATCAGTCTTCAAGTACTTGGAAACAGAATATGAGACTTATTCAAGTTATGTAAGTATCAGCCAAACTGAAGTGATTTAGAAGTCTGCATTTTGATTCTTTTTCATTACATAAAAATATAAAAATATTTTTTAATGATTATTTAATTGGAGCCATGCTATCTAAATTCTTGCATATTTATTATTATTAGCTTTTATTTTTTTTAATTTATTTTTTGTTGTTGTTGTTGTTGTTGTTGTTGTCCTTGTTTGTGTTGTTTTCATGTCTATAATTGCTTTTTTCCTTTTCTTCATCGTAGTACTTTACTCTGGAGAGCAGATGTGGTTGTCCTGGTCTTTGTGGTACTCCACCAGAAAAATCTAAAGGTGCACAATAACAACTGT